TATTTGGTATTACCGAATACACGTATTATTTTGTGGGATTGGGATTGGAATTGAATTTTAATTGTTATTCGGTATTAGGGATTACGAGATTGTGATCGATATATACCGAAATACCGATCAATACCGAAATATAAGTTTGTGTGTATTTTATCCTCTCAACTAGACTCTCTCATTCAATACTACGCAACCCTCAACCACCAAAAGTGTCATTTAATTATACATAGATCATTACATCACTATTTTACACTAGCATTAGTCGTCTCTCAACCTCAAATTCGTCAAATTAAACATTACCAATTAAAAGAACTTGAGATGTTAGTTCTAGGCAACTCAAGACTATTTGCTTAGTCTCTTTGCCCTAAATTAAACAATAAAATCTAATTTATATATTTAATTATTAATTACAAAGGTAATTAATTATGTATTCGATAATACCGATTGAGATACCGAGGTACCGATTGGGATACCGAAATTATTTAGGGATTAGGATTGTGATTGATTTTAGGATGTAATTCGGTATTCGGGATTTCGATATTTGATATTGAGACACCGATACCGTACCGATTTCCACCCCTAGGTATCATAGTATTTTTCTGTAGGTTGCGGTGGTGGTGGTTATGGGTTGGTAGAGGTAGTGTGTAATACTAGTTTTATTTTTTGTAGTGGTTATCATATCTCATATAGGGGTCGTTTGGATTAGGGAATGTGTAAATGAGGGATTTGGATTAAAATCTCTCAATTAAAAACCCAGGTATTTTAAACGTGGGATTTTATCCAAATAACATGTTTGGGAATAGGTGAAGGATTTTAATTAAAAATTAAAGTTACAATTATACCCATCCCTAATCCCTAAGGAAGAATAAGAAAGGAAGAACAAAAGGAGGGGCAGAGTTTGGAAAAGAATGAGAAAAAATGAGTGATTGTGAAATAGCTGATCCCCATCAGCTATTTTAAAAACTCTCATATGAGAGATTTAGAATTTCCTCATGCCCACAATCTCTCACCTTTCCAAACGCAGAATTGTTTTAAAATCCTGCACAACGAGAGATTGTTTTAAAATCACTCATAAATCCCTCATCACATTCACTAATCCAAACGACCCCATAGTGGAAGGTTCATTTGGAATGATATTAGTTCGTCGTGTATTGGTTTTAGTTAGGCGGAAGTATAGATTGTGACCGCAAAACAATGAAGGCAATCAAACGAAGGCAGGGAGGCAGAAGTAAAAAGAGGGAAAGAGATATAGAGAGTTTTAGTTTTAAAGAAGTTACATCCTTGTTGGGAATCAATTTCATGAAGTAAATTGCTTTATCAAATATCTAGATTGTTGGGAATATCAAGAGATTATTGAACATTTGTTCTTTCATTGCTCCCTTGTCATCATGCTATGGACTTTTAGTGGGATTAAGTGATTTGCTTGCTTCCGCCCAAACTTCGAACTTTAGTATATGGTGGCGACAATGTTATGTTTTTAGTAAACTTCCAAACCCACATTCTCCCATGCGTTTGCCTTTTTTGGAGAATCTGGAAATCTCTTAACAAAGTGGTTTTTGATTATACTCAGCCACACGCCCGTTCTCTTGCCCGTCAATTCCATTTCCAAGTCATTGAATTTTCCTTAGCCTTTCAGCCCCCAGGACCTCTCTCTCAGGCTTGTGCCCTCTCCTCCTTCCGTTCTGCATCACCCGCCTCCAGACTTTGTGAAGATCAACTTTGATGCTGCTGTTTGTCGTTCCGGTTGCTCATCTGGCCTCGTCATACATGGGACAGACGGGCAAGTTCTACTGGCCTGGGATCTTAGCACCAAGGAGTTTTCGATCCCTATCTAGCAAAGCACCTTGCTGCTAGGTGATCCTGAAGTGGTGATTCGGCATCTGGACCGTAGAACAGTGGAAGATTCGATAGGCGGCTCACTACTCCAAGAGTGTCATCGGCTCCTAGTTTCATGCTCTCTTTTTATAGTTTTTAGTGTGGTTCTGCGGACTGCCAACTGAGCTGCCCATAGAGTGGCACCTAAAGCTCTGTTGCTGTCCTCTTTAGAGGTAGCGTACTTTGTTTTTGTAGGGTGGCTTCACTAAGTGTTGCTTTGGGTGGGGTTTTGGGTAGAGGTTTCTAACTTTTTTTCTCTTGTCATTACTTGAAAAAAAAAAAAAAAAGTTACATCCTCAAATGTACTACAATGTAATTAATCTAATATAATTAATATAAATGAAATTGACAAACATTTCTAGTTCAAAACAATTTAAATGGTCTACTTTATTCTTGGTTGTCACAGCGATCACCGGACACCCTAACCTCTCTCTATGTTGATAAAAAGTAAAAACACTAAAAGAAATTTTACTTTTTAGAGGCTAAACATCGTGGCACATAAATATGTGTCTCCTAAAATATCTCATACATGACTAATATATTATATGTCACTAAAATAATTACTATATGCCTCTAAAACAATCATTATTTTTAATAAAATGTTAATTTAATCAAAATATTATTTTTAGCGGCAAATTTTGTATAACTGTCGTCTAGCTTTATTCTTCATATCTGTATGAAAATAAAATTATTTTTTATTTCATAATATTATAAATTTTGGACACAACTAATTATTTGTTGCTAATAAAAGGATCGTTAAAGTAGGGCTAGCTATTTGGTCTCGGACTGTTTGGTTTTATCCGAAACCGGATCGTATAACCCGGACCGGGACCGGACTGGGACCGGATAGCAAACAATCCAATCTCATATTCGGGCTTAGATTTGAGGTAAAAAACCCGGATAAAGACCGGATAAGAGACCCCCAACACCTAAAATCAAGATCAAATTGGGACCGGACCGAATCAAGACCGGACTGTATCCAATCCAATCTTTGGTCCTTATATTCCCGAAAAGACCGGACTGGGACCGGATCAATTTGGTCCAATTTAACCGGACCGGACCGTATAGCCACCCCTACGTTAAAGTCTAAAAGAAAAGCTGCTTTTTTTTTGTGATCCTTTATTATCTATAGTTACAAATTTCGAAATGTTGCTGTGACATATTATACCGTTTTGACAAATGATTTTGTTATAATAATTTGTCATAATATCTAATATGGGGTTGTTGTATCGAAATGGTTTTTGTCAAAATAAGGTAGTCATGATTAGGGATGGCAACAAAACCCGAACCCACGGGTACCCATCCGACCCAATCCTGTCAACGCGGTAAAATCCGTGTTGACGGGTTTTGGGCCGGGTTTGGGTTTAAACCCGTTCATTATTCATCGGGTTGGGTTGGGTTTGAGTTTAGGTAAACCCGACCCATGGGTACCCGCCCACACCCATATAATTAATTTTCTCGGTATATTTAATATTCTAAACAACTAATCTTATTTATGTTTGTGGAGAAATGTCCAATTTTTTCTTTCTAAGTGTGTAGAATGAAGTTGATGTTATCGAGTGGAGAGTGAAGAAACTTAATTGAAAGGAAGAAGCTTTCAATTAATCATGTTATTTATTGATAATTTGTGATTTACTTTAATTTTCTTGAGTTTCTAGATTGGTGTTGAACAATTTGTATAGTTAATTTGTGATTTGCTTGAATTTTCTAGAATGGCGTTTTATATATGGATAATTTGTATTGAGAGATTGATATTTGACTTTAATTTTGATAGGAACTTGTTATTGTAAATTTTTTACGACAAAAACCCGTGGGTACCCATGAACCCGCGGATACCCAGCGGGTTGGGTTGGGTTTGAATTTTTCAAACCAAGTGGGTTTTACCCCGGGTTTTTTTCACAGATAAACCCATGGGTTTGGGTTTGAGTTTGGGTTTGGCAATACCTGACCCAACCCGACCTATTGCCATTCCTAGTCATGATAGACCATTATTGTTTTTGTCATATTATAATTAGGAATAATATGTATATTTTGTGACGAAACCATTTTGTCATAATCTAACATGCTAATTTAGTCACCATATCCGAAAATTATGATAAATAACACAATTGTCCCGAATATTGAAGGCAACATAGAATATTCAATAATCTCAGTCATAATCCTTAAATAACAATCTTTCAAAGCAACATGACATTCTACTCCTCGTATTGCCTCCATTTGTTCCATTTTGAAGGACAACCCAACAACAAGTTCATCTAAAAAGAAATTTCTACAGACAACCAAAAGTTTTAACAGACCATGACGTATCTGCTCCCTGTTATTACTCATGCATCTAGCTTTCTTCAACGTCTTTCACTTTGACCTGGACAAGTTGGACTAGTTGTGTGGCACACTAGGAGCTGAACCAAAGAGATTTACGAGCATTCTTATGACCCTTGAGAAGCATTTGCACAAACAAATACAACTCTACCGAGAGCTTCGACAAAGAGTGTATTCATAACCCAATCAAAAAATATATTTATTGTACATTAGTGAAGCGAGCTCGCCTAAATGTTCATAGGGTTAGGAAATTCTATTTCTTATAATGATATGAGGCCACATATTTTACAATTATTATGAGTTATTTGGTTATGTGGGCTAATTGAAAGTGATCCAATTAAGAGCCCAAAGACATCTTGCATTGATATGGGTCTAAATGGGTGGAAACTCAATACTTGTACACCTTGAGTTTTATGGGAGCCCATGATGACTAGTACATACAGAACCACTTAGAGGTTGTGGTCTCCAACACACCAAGACCAACACACTCTCTTTTTCTCCCCATCAGGAGGATCAGAGAAAATCCAGTATAGGAACTAAGGTGGCTCAGTTGAGGAAGATCACAAAACCTCCCGGATCGTGCTTCAGAGGTATCGTCCGGTTTATGATCGTCTTTCATATTCCGCATCAAGTTCTTGGCGATCAATCGACACAAGTCCAGGTATTTTCACAAATCTTTGATAATCTAGCAATATAATATCCGTGGAATTGCTTGTGCAAATTATGTTATATTTAACACATAGATGGTAGCTCTAGAAGCAAGATGACTAACTAGTCAAGCATTCACCACCGGCCTTCTTCATTCTAGCTTTGGCAAGTATATTTCCATGTAAACTAAACATACCAAAGATGTAAAAATAACAAAACAAAATAATCATTCCTTTAAGTGAAATGACATGTAAAGAGAAGGTTAACTGTTGGATTTGCAGCAGTCTGATGGCCTAAGAGCTTAAGAGGGAGAAAGTTTCTAGCAGACATTCCAGCAAAATAGGTTCCTAACTGACATATATATGTCTTAAAAAGGTCAATTACCTAGAACAACTCAGAAAAAGTTGCAGTAAAGTAGTTACAATTTCAGAGTATCCTACTCTGATATTATTAGCTTCAAGCATTTTGGAAATCTCCTTCCTGATTCAGATGACCTGAAGAAAAGATATTCAATTTACTTCATGCTCGAAATAAAATTCTTAGATATATGAAAATGCCCTGAAATCGACCACACCAATCATATCACCCACAAAAATGATTGATTCATATAGAAGCATAGCATACATCGGAACCATTTGAGTGAACATCCAGAACAGCATCCGTTGAAGTTAATTAAACGTGTGTGCAAGCTTGAGCCAAGAAATTACTAGAGGAACAAAATATAATACCTATGAAGTTTCCTTTCAATACACAAGTGCCAGAGTACTGGATGTTTATAACATCTCCATGATTAGCCCAATGTAAAACCAACAAAACAATAAGACAGTGAAAAGCCAAGTTAGGTGACAAAGAGTTAGTACTGCAACGAGGAGGAAAAAATGATGCCTTGTAGTCTTGCCTTTCATCTATAATAGTCCCACTTAGTTAGCATATGAACTGGAGCCAACACCCTAAGGAAATAGAATATGTGTTCAATGAGTTCCAGCCACCTTAGAACCTCCATAGGTGCAGCTAATCCTCCATTTGAAGCCGGAGAATCTTGTAATTGGCATTCCATTACACGAGGAACGAACAATTGAGGCCTCAACTAACCTATGGGCCATCACAATTGAAAAAGTAAAATTCAGTGGAAGGGCTTGCAACCTAACAGCTTACGAGCAAAAACCCAACTCTATTCAACAACAACTACTTTCCACAGTAGCAAAAAAATTACCTTGACCTTCCGTCATGCGCCCAATGGAGTACGGTTATCGAATTGTTGCTGATGTTGTGGCGATAGAGTCGGAGATTGGGATGTCGAAGCGGCAAGGATAGGACAGGGGAGAGAGTTATTGGACGGGTGATGGAGGAGGGACCGGAACGGCAGCGACAATTGTGGTCTCCCAGTCGGCGACGAAGACAAGGCAGGGAGAGAGGAGAGGAGGGCGATGGCGCATGAGGAGGGAACTGGGACATTGGTATATAGTCTCCCAGTCGGCAGTGTAGAGAGCGCAAGGGGAGAGGAGAGGAGAGGGGAGGGGCTTCTTCTAGTTTGGGATCCAGTGAGGTTGAGAGGTGCCGGCAGTCTGTTCGAGTTGGAGAGAGTGGCAAAAATCGAGTAGTCGACACAAGGGTTAGTTTAGGGAGATTTAGGATGGGAGGGTACGGGTGAGGAGAGGGTCGGGTATGTGCTGAACCCGAACCGAATCCAACCCGCAAAATAGTGAAACCGGTTTTACCCTGAACTTAATCCATGATTCGTTACCATGGGTATCATTTCACTTTGATATAAGATTGGGTCAGGCTAGCTACTCATAGGTTCATGTTATATGTTGCCATACCTACTCTTAAATGAACGTCAAGGATTGGCAATGGGCTAAACGACATAGTATAAAGGGGCGGTAGTGGTTAGTTAACCACAACCCAAATAATCGGTTAGAGATTAACAAATAAGAAAAAAATCCTCAACCGTGACTCCCAGTCAACAATCGATAATCAGATTTTTCTAAGTCATAGCAACGAAATTTGATAAGTTGTACTTATTTTTTATACCAGATGGTTGAATAAAAGTTGTGTTAAGAAGAGGAGCAAAGAAATGAACAATGGCAAGGTTTATGTTCTCTTTTCCGTGTGTATGGGGAGGGGGACTTGAATTCCTAAAAGAGATGAGAAAACAAGTTTCTTTTATTACTTTCTAATGATGGCAAATAATCAGCGTTCAAATCATAACAACAATATGATGAATTTCTAAGGGTTTAGTGGATCATTGTTCAATTCGAATACAAGTTTCATGATTTAAGGTTTAGAGATTGCATTTATCCTCTTTTATCCTTTACAATTCCAAGGGTTAGAATTTATGAGTGAAGATTGTTTTAATGGTTCGCGATTTATAGTTTATAATTTAGAATTTAGGGTTTCTGTCATGGTTTAGGATTTTTGTCATATTAAATGCGTACTTAACATTAATATGACGTTCTACGAAAAAGTACATTATTTATGAAAATTTTATTTGTCAGCATAAATATTAACTATCATATATTATTACAAACAAACTACTTTTGTACTATCTATATAATCTTTCAGTTCCCGTCAATTCATTTGCTAATTAAATGTGTGATATACATGGATGCTAAACAATTAGTATAAAAATTTTTTTTTTTTTTTTTTTGCATTACGAGGAGGCCAAAGGCCGAGAACAGAGAGATACAGGGGGGTTAAGCAGGAGGGTCGAGAGGGGGGGAGGAAAAGACAATCTGTCTCTCAAAAGTAACACCCATCGTATCTTCAGTAAGAATTCGGGATAAGCCTGAGGGTGGGTTTGCAAGCTCATGTATACCGTAGGGGTAGACGAGACTGTGCTTCGAGAGCCAGTCCGCGACTCTATTCCCTTCTCGATATACATGAGCAATACTCACCAACCACTCCTGGCTCAGCTTCCTGCGGATACCTGAGAGGAGCGTCGCGTGGGGGTGTATCGGGTCATGTCTGGTGTTGATCAGTTGAATAACCATCATTGAATCTGTCTCCACACGAAGAGCCCGGCACCCTGTCTTCCAAGCAATGTCCAACCCGTGAGCAAGAGCCCATAGCTCAGCCAAGAGCGCCGTCGCCGACCCAATATTGGCAACAAACCCCGTAATCCAGTGTCCCATGCAATCCCGAAGAGCACCCCCCGCGCCTGCCGGACCCGGGTTGCCGTTAGATGCACCATCGACATTTAGCTTCATCCAGCCATCTGCCGGCGGGGACCAACTAATGCTCGCCGAGGTCCGCTGCGGAGCCTGATTCCTGTTGCTGCAGAGAGGGTCAGGGGCCCTCCAAGCCGCGCTCCACAAGCTAGTCCGCGCCATAATCGAATTCTCTAAAGAGGGAGCAGACAAGGCCGCCTGAATTCCCTTGAAGCAAGCAGTCGTCCGGTTCTTCCATAAGCACCAGGCGGCCATACTGAAGAAGGCTGGCCACTCAATCCCTGCCGTCGTGGCCTTGTCGCTGAGCAGATTCCACCGGATCCACTGGTCGGAGCTTGCGGAGAAGAAGGTGTGCTGTTGCTGGTGGGGAACGTGTCGCGCCCAGAAGAACATCGCCGGAGAGCAATCACGAAGGATGTGGAGGATAGACTCCTGTCTCCCGGGGCAGCGAAGGCAGTCGGGGCTTGCAGCACACTTCCTATCAAAGCGGAGCGCATTCGTCGCAAGCTTCCCTGAGGCGGTCATCCACATGAAGCTTCTCACCCTCTCTGGGACGGGGAGTCTCCAGATTTTCTTCCAAAGTTGCTCATTCACATCAGGTTCCCTCTGGTTGAGCATGCTGAAGGCGGACCTGACACTAAATCTCCCGTCCCCAGACGCAGTCCAGAACAGCGTATCCTCGTCCTGCGAAAGCTTGTCGACAGCGATGCTGAGAATTTTTTGGCACGTGTCGGCTGGGAGGAGGTTATGGAAGATGTCAGTGCGCCATCTGCCATCATCATCGACAAAGTCAGCCACCAAAGCTCCGTCGAGCTCCTCCGGGATATCGCCAGTCGCCACTTCCTTGAGAGGGACCTGCAAAACCCACAAATCATGCCAAAATTTAGTGCGCCGGCCATTCTTAATGTTCCACGCACAACCTCTTTTCAGAAGAGGAGCAGTTTTTGAGAAACTACTCCAAGTGAAGGAACTTCCCTTGATGTTGCGGAGCATGTCGATGTTATCGAAGTGGCGGCCATACTTGGAGCACATAATCCTCGTCCACAGGCTTTCCCGGTCCTTTAACAGACGCCAGCCATTCTTGGCGAGCATGGCTATGTTGGCTTGTCTGGTGTTCCGAAGACCCACTCCACCTTGCAGCTTGGGCCGAGTCATCGTCTCCCAGGCCACTAGGTGCATCTTGTTCCTGTCCTCCTCATCGCCCCACACAAAATTTCGGCTTATCTTGTCGATGCTGTGGCAAACTCCAACAGGAATAAGCTCCGTTTGCATGGTGTAGACGGGGATCGAGGCCACCACCGACTTGGCCACCGTGAGTCTTGCCGCAAAGGATAATCTCTTAGCTTTCCAAGGTGCCATCTTCTTCTGAATCTGCAGGAGAAGGGGCTCATACCTTCCCTTGGTCACTCGCTCCTGAATAGCATGAATCCCGAGGTAACGACCCAAATGGGCTTTTAGAGGGATACCAGCACCCCTGCCTAAACGCTCAGCTCTCTGACGACTGATGTTGGGAGAGACGTAGATGATGGATTTGCTGAGATTCACCCGTTGTCCCGAGCTTAGGCAGAAGTCCTCCAGGCACCTCTTGATAACTCGTATCTGCCTTAGCTCCGCTTCCGCAAACAGCAACAGGTCATCTGCAAAAAACAGATGGGTTAGAGGAGTACAATCAGAGGTCATCTTAATAGGTTTCCACAATCCATCATTCACTGCTTCGTCAATTTTATGAGAAAGCCTTTCCATACAAAGCACAAAAAGATAGGGTGAAAGGGGATCTCCCTGACGAACTCCTCTGGAGGGAGAGATCGGGGATGACAGCTCCCCATTCCAAAGGATTCTCATCCGGTTATGCTCCACGCAATACATGATGCCGTTGATCCAGCTGCTGGGCAGCCCAACCTCCTTCAAAGTATCCCTCAGGAAATCCCATCGAAGCATATCATACGCCTTCTCCAAGTCGATCTTGAGAATCATCCCTCCTTTTCTCGCCTTCTTCCTTCGAAGGGAATGCAGAAGCTCTTGCACAACGATGATATTATCCGCCGTCTGCCTGCCAGGAATGAAACTGCTCTGGCGAGGGGAAACCAGATTCTTCATAAGAGGCTTTAATCTACTGGTCAGCGCCTTGGTGATTGCTTTCAGGCTGACGTTGTTGAGGGAGATAGGCCGCAGTTGATTAACCCTCTCTGGGCTTTCCACTTTTGGTATGAGCACTAAAGTAGACTCGGAAACTGCCTCAGGTAGAACTCCTGTATTGAAAAAATTAATGGCCATCTCGCTGAGATCCTTCCCCACGACCTGCCACAGGCGCTGATAGAAGACTGCCTGATACCCGTCGGGACCGGGAGCTTGATAGGGTTTCATCCCAAAGATGGCCATGTGAATGTCCATGATAGTGAGGGGGCGGAGCAGAAGAAGGAGCTCATTCTGGCTGATCCGAGGGAAGCAACCCTTTGGCATCCTATCCTCATACGTCGAGTCATCCTGCGTAAAAAGATTAGTGTAGAAATCAAACACAAGAGAGGCAAGAGAATGAGGATCGTTCACCCAGTTGCCATTCGAGTCCTGCAGAGCCACAATCTTGTTCCTCCTTCTTCTGATATTAACCTGCTGGTGAAAGTATGCTGTATTCCTCTCCCCGAACTTAACCCATTTCTCTCGAGATCGTTGAAACCACAGCATTTCCTCCTGCTCCAGTACGTTGTCCAGATCCCGCTCGAGTTTGGCGTGAAGCTTGGCGAGACCCGGATTGAACCCGCTGACCCACCTCTCTTCCACTCCTCTAATCCGGGCTAGAAGTCTCTTCTTCTTTTGATGAATATTCCCAAAAATTTGGCGATTCCACTCCTGCAAATTTTCAGCCAAACCCTGAAGGGCCAGGTGAAAAGGGACTTCACTATCCCACGCCCCGGTCACGAACTCCTGAAGATTGGGATGAGAAAACCAAGCAGCTTCGAATTTGAAAGCTCGGTTCGGCGTTGGTGAGAATTCAGGGGACCTGACCGTCGTCAAGATTGGATTATGGTCCGAATGCAGCCTGGGCAGATGGAGAACAGTCGTGTTGGGGAAATGCGTATTCCATCGAAGGTTACACAGGCTTCTGTCTAACCTGCTCGCCTTGTAAGTATTTGACTGATTCCCTCTGCTCCAAGTGTACTTAGTTCCCGAGAAACCCAGATCGACTAGCTCCGCTTGATTGATCCTGTCGTTGAAGACTCTGCATCTTCGAGCGGAGTTGCTAGCGGGGGGGCCGGATTTCTCATCCAGACTGCGAATGGCGTTGAAGTCGCCGGTCAGGATCCACGGGATATCAATTTGGCCACTGAGATCAATTAGGGAGTCCCAAAGGATGCGCTGCCGATGAGAGCGAGGGGAGGCGTAGACCGCAGTAAGGATCCACGGATCCCGATTGCCTTCAGAAATGCGGAGGGAGATGTGCTGCGAGCATGCTGAGATAAGCTGGGTGTTGAAACGGTGTCCGTCCCAGAACATCCAAATTCCCCCTTGACGACCGTCAGCTTCGACTCTTAAAGAGTTCGGGAACCCCATTCTGTCGCACAAGGAACTGGCCGAATCCCCACTGATCTGGGGTTCAAGAAGGATGACAAAATCCGGCCAGTTCTGCTGAATCGCAAGTTTGAGAGCCCTAGTGAAGGCTCTGTTCCCTGCTCCACCTACATTCCAGGAGAAAATCTTGAAGTTAGTTTGTATCGACATAGAGGTATAAGGCATAAGAGAAAGAAAATAAAAACAGAGGAGAGTCGGAGAGGAAATCAGCAGTCAAGAGGCTGGGCATGCTCCATGCTCGTCACCGCCGGGTCTGCTTCCTGGGAGAGAGTTGCCGTCGCCCTCCCCTGAGCAATAGGCAGATTAGATGCCGATTTCCCGTTCTCATTTGTCCAAGCACTGATTTCTTGAAGCGTTAGGGAGGCGAGGCGAGCTCTGGGTTTCGCCTTTTTCTCTTTCATCGGTGACCAGCGCTGAAGAGCTTTGATCGGAATCATCTTGGCCGGCGAGCCCTTCCTCCGATCCGAGGCTTTCTTGTTCTTCTTCAGCCTTGCGGTTGTCGATGGCGATGCCCGTTCCACCATTCTGCCTACTGATTCCTTTGACTGCTGAAGCTCCACGACTTGTAAAACGGTGCCGTTCGGGCCGGTAGTTGACCGTATCGCAAAGGGCGAAGTTTCTTGCCCAGCAGAACCATTATGGCCTGAGGGATCAGAAGTGCTAGCGGGGCCCCGTGGTTTTGGGCTCGAAACAGGGGACCGAGGCTTTGGGCTTGAGCCTTGGGCCGGGAGGCCATCGCTCACTGAATGAGACCCTACGGTTGAGACCCTTTCAGTAGCCTCCCTAATTTTCAATTCGCTTGAGCTGGCCCGCTGGCGGCCCGGCCCTGGGCCCAACACCCCTTTCACTGTCGAGGTTTCCACTGCCAATTTTTCCTTCCCCTTTCTCGAAACTTCACTTCCTTTCTTTCCATTGTTGTTCTTTTTTCCGTTCGAAATTTCCCGTTGGGGAGAGTTGCCAGTGGGTTTCGGCATTTGTGGCGTCAAATCTTCCCTTTCCCTGATAACCACTCCCCCCTTTCCATTTTTATTCGACTTTCCCTGTGTATCGAGCGCCGTTTCCGGCTCTGAGATCCCTTTCTTCTGCCCGTCCCGTGATCCACGCCGTGATCTCCGACTGACCAACATCCAGGGGCCAAAACCGGAGTTTTCCTCCGGCGGCCGTATCGGTGTGCTTTCCGGCATGGTTCCGTTAGCGGTAGCCCTGGCCCCCGACACTGACACTGATCGGAGATGAGGGCATGACTCGGCTGTATGACCAATCTTCCCGCAGTGAAAGCAAACCTGAGGGAGGTTCTCGTACTCCACCCTCTGCCAAGCGTCATCTAACCAAATTCTGGGCACGAGGGGTTTAGACAGGTCCACTTCTACCGCGATGCGAGCGAATTTTGCCCGTTCTTGATTCAGTGTGTGATAGTCCAGTTTGATGGCTCTGCCAAGAAGATTTCCCAAAGTCGTCAGGACTTCCCTGTGATAGAAGTGAATCTTAAGAGCTGGGAGTTGGGCCCAGACTATCATGGTTTTGGGAAGCGGATCCGACACCTTGAAGTTGGGTGACCACTGTTGAACCAATAAGTAATGATCAAAAATCATCCATGGTCCCTCTGTCAGAGCTCGAAAGTAGTCTTGCTCGTTATCCATCTTAACCAAGAAGCAGTCATAATCCAGGTCCCGAATCTCCAGCGTTCCTGACGGTTTCCACAGCCCGCGAAGTCTAGAACAGAGCGTCATAAAACCGATTTTGATTCCGAGCAATCGTACCACCAGGGATCGCTGCCACGGGGCACAGATCTTGTGTTTGAATTCCGGAGAGATGCTCAGGGCTGGTTCCCCGTCCTTCTCCCCCCGAATCAGGTCGTGCTCGCCTACTGGGGTCCAGGTTGCTGCACTCTGCGGATTCGATTGCAGATTTTGTAAGCCTAGGACCGCCTTGGCATAGGAGAACGGTTGTTGGACCTTATCCGAAGCTTGAATCAGAACCAGCTGATTCGCCACCGTGGAGGACGGCGATGGATCGACGATCATATCTGCCCCCGTAGACGCCACTTCCGCTGGAGCGGTGTCTGGAGGCCTGTCTGACGGAAAGGGCGCCGGCGGCGGAGCGAAGGTTTCACCCGGAGCACTCGAGAGCATTCCTCTGTTGAAGAAGCAATGGTGAGGATAATTAGTATAAAAAATTTGTCATCATAAAAGCCCATGATTTTATATTGTGAGAAAATCACTATTTATTACATATTACATTTTATGTTTCCCCCACAAGTTCACGTCAAATTAACATCTCCACAAAATTTTGTAAAAATTATAAATTTTCATATTACATAAATTATACGACCAAATATTTTATCATAATATACATAAATATTTATATATTTTGACAAATCCACAATTTGTCACATTATACATTTCATATTAGTGACTAAGTACACACATAGTCATATTATATGTAAATTTCTGATACTATGACAAAACTATTTATCAATATAAATGTGATATCGTAAATGATGTGACAAACGATATTATGACAAATATAATATCACTTTATTATCCAAGTTTGCCTGACTACTAACCATATTTGACAAAATACTATTGACACATTAGTTTTGTCATAATATATACTTAATATGACAAATGTTTACGACAAAGTCACTACTTGTCACAACTAATATGGAAATTATGACAAACTAGGATTTTGTCACATTAGATAGTTTATTGTGACAAAATAAAAATGACAACTTTTTTATTTGTCTTAATATACGAAAATTATTGTAGTAGATGTGGATCTAAAGGAACTATCTAACTTAACAAACTATCCACAATATGTGGCTACGTGCCTGCAAGTTATATAATAATTAATAAATTTATAAAGATTCTAAACAGTTCACACTCCTATTATTATAAGTTCTCCAATCTTCACCCTCTCTTTAAAACTAAGCGCCACAAAATTCTCATCTCCTTCTCCATTGTTCCAGAGCTCCCGTAGCCATAAGTGTATGGCGTAACCATAAATCGTTGCCGCCTCCTACCTGCAACAGTTCTTTAATTTTCATACAAAGCAGTTCTTTCAGTTTATCCAAAGTGCGTGAGCATTTAGTCATCAATTGCAGTGTATCAGAGCCAATTCTCTCCTTTGTTAATCTCATTTCTGGCTCTCGGATGCGGCTCCAATCGAGAGAGTGACCGAGGAGATTCCGATCAGTGAGCGTTTTCCTTTTCGAATTTTCGTTTGATAAATTTCCTTCATTCTAGTTCGATAAATTTTGTTCTTCCTTCTTGGTGGTGGAAACAGAACGGCGATCCTAACACTAATATAAAGAGGTTCTCCGTAAGAATATGCTTAATTGTAATTTTTCAGTTTTCTAAGTAAATTTAAGAAGAATATTTTTATCTTCTTAATTAATAAAAACTCGGACTCCGTACAAAACTGGAGATTTTGTTGATTATGCGATGGAAAAGAGACTCTGTGGGGAATTTGTTGGAAACTAATTATTATATTAATATTATTAGTTAGGAAGATGGTTGCCTATATAAAAGGGAAGTCTAATCCTTTTTTATAATTATTGTTACATATATTTTATCTTATTTTTCCCCCCTTTTTAACATTTGCTAACGTTCTAAAAAATAATTGCTAACGTGAGATTTAATTTTTATCTCTTTCAGATTACTAGATTGTACCCCGGCCCGTTGGCCGGTTATAATATGATAATAATATTAAAAAATATTCCAAGTTTAAATTTCAGTAATATGTTCATTCTCTTCAATTCATGTGATGATTATATGTCAATGTTATGTGAATTAACAAATAGTGTTATCCATTTTACAAAATAGCAAGGAATTTTTTTACCATTAATCAGGTTGGTTGCGATTTAATAACAGTAATTAACAAAGGTTTCTATGTCACTCTTATAACAAAATTTCAATGAAGGTTTCTAGTTTAAATTTCAATAATCTTTCTCTCCTCTTATATTTGTGTCATGATTATATGTCAATATGTCATGCCAATTAACAAAAAGTGGTAAATTTAACAACATAGCAACATAGTTCCTTAGTTTATACTAATAAGACAGTCAAATTATTCAATCGACGATAAGAGCATCCATCATCATATTACTACATTGTAATTATCGTATTCTATGTAGATTTTGGTTGAAATTAAAACTATAGGAGGACTCATCAAGGGAATATCAACTCATACTAAACTTAATGACACAATATTATAGGTATTCCAAAATGATTGATATCAATTCTTTACCATCAAGAATCTCCATCATCAACTGACATTGAATGAATAGTCTTTTCTCAAGCAACCATAGGAGCTTAATCTCATTTTTTATCATAAATTAATCAAAATAAAATGATTTAAGTTGCATTTTTAAGTTTCAACATAATAAGAAAGATTTTTTTTATATTGTAAGACTGTTACCTTGTGTGAAGTTCAATCACTTTAGGAAAATCAAGATCAGGTAGCACCAAGGTAGCTTCAATTTATGTGAATAACTTTTCATCCGCAAAGGTGGCCAATCACGAATAGATGATAAATAACATCTTAAGTAAAAATAATAATAATAAATTAAGTTTCATTTTTAAGTTTCAACCTAATAAGAAAGATTTTTTTAATATTGTTAGAATGTTACCTTGTGTGAAGTTCAATCACTCTAGAAAAATCAAGATTAGGTAGCACCAAGGTAGCTCCAAATTATGTGAATAACTTTTCATCCGCAAAGGTGGCCAATCGCGAATAGATGATAAATAACATCTTAAATACTAAACTAAGAAATATTTACTACTTTGATGTAGAGATAGAGAGGAATGAAATGGTCAATGAACATAGAATTAATAGCCTTAATAAGAATTTTATTGAATTGAGTAACGTTTCTACTTCATTGAGTTATTTTCACAACAAATCTCTTGTACACGAATTGAATCCTAGACTTAATAAAACCATGAAATTTTATAATAAAAAACATTATACTTTCAAGTTGGAATTCCCAGTAACGTTTCTACTTCATAAAGTTATCTTCACAACACATCTCTTGTATTTTAATTGAAACATAGAACTTTAATAAAACCATCCAATTCTAAAATAAAAATTATACTTGTAAGATGGCATTCCCACGTGGTTGGACATCTATAGATGATTTGAATTTCATAAACATTTTCTTTTAAAGATAACTCCCGTTACGTACTACGATAGAGTTGTCTCTTTATTTTATGTTTGGTTGATCATTCACGTATTAAACACGTATAAAACATTTCATATACGTGTAATTTAAGTAATTAAACTGATAATTTATTTATTTTATATTTAGTTGTACTTATGAATTCCTAAAGTCAGTGGCCTGCGGAAAAGAAATATAATCATTTATGGTTTTTTCTTTCATTCGTACCATCGAATATCACCGTCGTTCTTTTTTCTTTGTTTCCCACCCCCTCTCATCCATTCTCAAGCATACTACCGTCACTATAATCCCTTCTGCCTGTCTGGCTGCCTCTAACTTTCTCCGATCCAAATGCATGTGTTCTATTCCTTTTCCTCTAACAGACTCTACCCCGTTAAGGTGGTTTCTTTCGCTGCATGTATCGCTTTTTGTCTCTAATCGGTCAGTGTATGCTACTCTGAATCTCTTCCCGTTGCCTCAGAAGGAGAAAAAGAGCTCAACCTTGAAGTTGTGATTCAATTTATGATTGCAGGTTGAACTGAGATCTAAATCAAAGGCGGGGAGAAGAGGGTTCTCGGTGGGAAATTGAGGAGCTGCAAAGAACAAAAAACGGAAATCAGAGCGGGGAGAAGAGGGTTATCGGCGGGCAATTGAAGAGCAGGTGAAACGACATGCAGGGGTGAACTGAGATCTAAATCAAAGGAGGCGAGAAGAGGATTATCGGCTAGGATGAGGTTGTTGATCGCCCATCTTAGTGCAATGATAGAAATTCACCGCCACGCCGATCCTTCTACCGCTGTCTCCCGTCGCTTTTCCTTTTTCTAATTCTTCCTTCCTTCCTTCGTTTCTCGAGCTCGATTCGTATTCCTCTCTGTTAAGGTGCTCTTTTATTATCGAAAACAGCTTTATTCTCGATTCGTATAAGTTCATAGGTATATAAAAGGCCCATAAAAGTAATCCAAAATAATTCTATAGCTTTATTGTCCCCGGTCCAAGTATGGCCCATTCCGTCAATAAATGCAGAGAAATTTACCAAACTCTCCCTCCGCGGACTGCGCAGGGAGAAGGAAAAAGGAGATTATGGGGGTTCCGGCCAGAAACCTCCATATAGTAGTGTTAGGATATAGTAGTGTTAGGATGTTTAGGTACATGCATATATTAATTACTTAACTTAAATAAATCAAATATATTTCAGTTATAACTTTGGATTTGAGATTTTCCATAAAACATATACAAAATAAAAAAATTCAAGGTGTTAATGAGAATTGATAAAGGTGAAGAGGTTTATGAATAAAATTATAAGTGATTGTCTAATTAATTATTAGTTTATTCCTCAATTTTTCATTTAGGTATTTGTTTTGTCTTAGACCAATGAAATGTATTTCACAATTTTCATCTAGCGACTAGAAGTTCAAAATTTAAAACCAATAACTAGACAATTTTTTCATAGATTCTTTTTTTGAATAACGATAACAAAATTGAGAGATCATACCAACTTAGACCTAGGTTTGTGATGTATAGTTTTCTTTTACCATAGCGGCAAACATGCAACTTCACTTTCTTTCTTCATGATTTTTTTTTGTTTTGATCAAATATTAGTGGGAAAATTATATTAGTGCGATGATAATTCTTATCAAAACTTCATTTGATATTGACATATTATTTTGTTCTGATATGCCCATTTCAGTATTGTTTGATATTTTTAAGTTAATTCATACAGTTATTAAGTACTATGTTTATTGATTCTATGCCTCTAAAATAATATTCACCTTGGAGAACCATATAATTGACAAAACAATGCTCCAGTTCGATCTTCAAACAACCAAATAAATGGATGGATTTTTTGTGCATAATCTCATTTAGTTACAGCTAACACAAATCTCAAGAGCTATAATTCGAGTTTTTCAATTTCTCACAAATCCAACGGAGTATATCTCATTCGTTTCAACTTTGATTAAAAAAAATTTGGGTTAAAAACCCATATTAATTGAAACTTGCCAAAGAAAATTTGAAGAAGACTATGACGAGTGATTTTATAGAATTATACAACAATAAAAGACAATAATAGTTAGGTAATAATCTATCTCTACTCTTCTGTTGTTTTCAACTTCAAGTTCATTCATTCGAGAGAAAACAAAGTACCCAGTAAAACATAAAGTTTTTCGCCAAATAGTTAATCTCAATTGTTGTTATTTAGTTCTACAAATATTGAAGTTTCATAATTCTACAAATATTGTCATTAAATTTTGCATTCAATGAAGTGCAGGGAATAAGGAAATGTATGCTCATAGCGGAAGTAATGAGTTTAGTTATGCAGATAATGACGTTATTGAGATAAAGGAAGAGGTTATTGATGGTGGATATAGAAAATTCAAAAATGTGAGGAAAGAGTGGATGGTTGATAATTGAAAGAAAGAAACCCGCCGCATGCCCGTGTACTGTACACGCAGACACCTTTTACTGTACAACGTGACTGGGATTTACTGTTTCAAACTGGCGTGGGCTGGCGTGTGGGCTGTTGTTGGGTGAGGCCTCATTGGGATCTGACGGAGTTTGGGGGCTCGGTCGGGGTGGGACTGGTCGTTGGCTTCTGGTTGGCCATAGTTGGGGTCGTTTGGTGGCCCGGACGCACGTTGGTCATCAGAGATCTATATGTTGCTTTGGCCCTAGCGGGTGCGCGGATCGAGGCTTAATCAGTTACTTTGGGTGTTCTGCTCAGTGGAGAGATGAGTCGTTCGAGAGACAGAAAAGGGTTCTTCAGATCAAATACAGAGAGATACTGACAGGGATGGGTTTTTAGTGTCTCAGGGAGAGGTTGGGAAGTCCTCGCGTTGTTCGATGCAGAAAGAAGCTTAGAGAGGCTGGAGGGTTTTGGGGAAAGTATAGAAGTGACTGAGCTCTGCAGGAACAAATATCGATTTATTTGTGTCCACTCATTGCAGCTACCGTCGCTTCTTTCTTTCTTTTTTCTTTTTCTCGCCTTTTTTGGAAGAAGGCCTAAATATATGCCCGGTCGCATTGGTTTGCTGATGGAAGCTTCGGGGGATGGGGATTTCAGTCGCCGAGGAATTGGAGGGCGAGTGCTTGAGTCTCCTTTTGCAGGTGGGAGTTGTGCCAGGTTCGCGGCTCGAGGTGGTGGAGGTGAATTGGGGTTGTCATGGATATTTTTCTCTCTGGGTTTGAGGGGATTGAGCGGTCAGATTGAGAAGTCTGCTCCTTTCTCCACCACATATTTCACCTAACCCAATTGCAAAGAGACGGGTCAAGACCAAGGGAGAGAATTTGTGGAGATCAGAACTTTACTTTCAACCCTATTTTCCTTCTTCTCTCCTCCCGACTGTTCTCTCTCTTTCTCTCTTCTTTTCTATGTGCAATGCAATTGGTTTCTTCTCTCTTCTCAGGAGATGGCGGAGTCGAAGCAGTCAACAGGTTTGAGAGGTCCGCAGAAGATCCAGACCAGCCGAGAGTGCCTTTGATTTAAGGTTATTCATCCTTTTCTATGTTAATCTTGCTTTGCTATTCATGCAGTTCCCTTCATTATCTTTTTTTCTCTCATCATGTTCTTTCTTCCCTCTTAACTCGCCAGATCGAACAGTCATCAGAGAACTACCGAATACACATCGGCGACAATGACTATAGCGAGAGTCTCTATGAATCTCATGTATTTTATCTCTTTATTTTCTTAGGTTCATATATGAGTTTTTTATGGATTTGATATAAGGTTCATTTTTACTTCCAGATCTGCTACTAGGTGCAACAAACCTCTCTCATTTGCAGATTCGCTGCAATAATAGTCGAGGTAATTGTGGGATTAAACGGTGAGCTCTCGATCTCTTATTCATGTCATCGGCTTCACGACTTTATCCTCTCTCTCCAGACCTCGGTCAGCAATGGTCCTATTTGGTACGTTTCCTTCTCCTAAGAAGTAGTTCTCCAGCTTCCTCTGTGTCTGTTCGGTTATACATATAGGTGATTGTTCTGATCGTTTGTTTTCACTGCAGTTTAATGGTTTAGTTCTGTCTTTCTCATTGGTTGAGCTTATTTGATTTCTATAAGGGGAGATTCTGGCGGTGAGTTCGGTGCCCAAGATTGGGACGGTCACAGGTATATTGCTATAGGTGCGTTTTGTTTTTGCTTTTGGGAGATGGGTAGAAGGCTAGAGATCGTATTCTAATAATTGATATTCCCTCTATTTTCTAATCCTTATTATTTCACTTCTCTTTTCTCTGATTTCTCACAGCTTGCTGTGTTGTCTGCTCTGGACTCTCTTTGGTTACGTGGTGATCGAGAGCTAAATCTCTTCGGCGCCACCGCACCACCTCCAACCTCACACCACGAGCAGGTCTGTATCATCTCAATTTTTCCTCTTCAGATTCATATTAGAGGTGCTAATTTGTCCTATTTTCATCGAGGTGCAGGTGGAATCGCATGGGGTTCTAGGTTGATCAATGGATTTGGGAGATCCAAAGGGTTTGGAAAAATGAAAATAGGTAGGTTCATTTTGGTTAGATGTAATTGTTGGACTGCTGAGTTTGTTTTCACAATATTCTCTTACTTTCATGAGGTTACTCCATTTGTCTCCCTTTCTATTCTATCCAAACCTGATGCACTTAGATGCTGGGTCATAGCTTGATGTCAGGTCAGGAGTTCTACTTGGATTTGGAAAAGCTCCGGGGATGTTCCAACAGATTTTCATTTAGATTTGCAATGAGCCACCCAAAAGAATTGCTAATTAGTTGCTACTGGGGATGTTCATCAAATTTAGTTTTCGCGTGTATAGAGCACTACTTTGATTTGATATATTGGCAAAGGTGAGAGTAATCTCAATTAGTTCGTAGCTAGACTCATGTGTTACTTTATGATAAAACCCAGGAGCCGCAATTGAAACTGTGCTCATTTTGTGGTATCTTATATACAGATGTTTGAACATAGTTTTTGCTTTTAAAAGGTGGTCTCCTTGATTTGTTTTTGTATCAGAAGCTCTTCAATGAGAAGGCTTGGAATTATTTGTTGTGAACAATTGTACATGGATTCATCCCTCTACTAATTTTGTGCTTATGTGCTATCCCACGGGTGATCAGGTTGTACATTTTCTAAGTAGCTATGCATCTAAATTTTGCAGCACAACCGAACTTCACTTTTTGCTGATGGAATTCACTTATCCTGGGGCTTTATAAATAAAAACAATGGAATAACATCTTTGTGGCTTCTTCAGAAGAAAAAAAAAACCAGTCGATGCAGTAAACCATGCACTACATATATTTATCATGTGTATAAGCTAAGCACACATTAGCCATATTAAATTTCGAAATTATCCATTTCTGTTTCAATGGTTTGTTCAAATCCCGGCGCAAAGCGCGGGCAAAGAAAGCTAGTATTTGTGATTTGGATAAAGTGAAATCCTACTATTGTGATAAGATGTTTTATATTTTCAAATATTTTACCATTAACGGGTCGTTTGCTTGAGGGTTTTGATGATAGATTTGGACATTTGGTGATGGAAACCCATCCATCATGGACTTGAACGGAAATCTTTCGTTTGCATTAAGGATTTAAGAAGATGAAATCCATGGGCCCCATGGGCTTGGAAGTTCCACCTCTTGAGGTGGGATTTGGGTAATTTATTTAAATCTATGATGATAGTTTACCCTTCTAGCCTTACTAATTTTTTAATTACAAATTTGTCCTCTATTTCATGTTAATGGGTATGCAACTATAAACGTTTATAATGTCGAGTATTTAGCATAAATGGTCACAAACCTTTGCACTTAGTACAAAACAGTCATAAACCTTTAATTTGTAACCATTTGATAACAAAACTTTGTACTTAGAACAAAACGGTCACAAATTAAACAGTGTGACCATTTCATACTAGTTCAAACTTTTGTTACCATGTCGTTGCAAATTAGACTTTTGGTGACCGTTTTGTACAAATTAAGTTCAAAAGTTTGAACGCTCAATCACCGTTACAATTCGTTCTAGTTGTATGGTAGTTTTGTTAATGTATGTGAATGATATGATCGTCATAAAGGATGACAATGAGAGAATTCAATGGCTCACAAACGGGTTCCGGACTGCTTTTTAGTTGAAAAAACTCTGTCTACTTTCTTACTTTCTTGGTATCGAAATTGAAAGGTCAACTGAGGGCATTTTTATTCGGCAAAACAAATATGTCGATGAACACATGACCTGACATCATATATGTCGTTCAAGTGGTTAGTGTCATATACTTAACAAACAAACTACCCGACCTCAAAATATGACAAACATTTAATTTGTAACGATTCGGTAACAAACCTTTGCACTTAAAACAAAACGGTCACAAATTAAATAGCGGTGACCATTTTATACAATTTCAAAGTTTTGTTACCGTATTGTTACAAATTAAAGGTTTGTGACCGTTTTGTACTAAGTGCAAAGGTTTGTTACCAGTTATGCTAATTACCCTTATAATGTCGTATTTTATTTAAATATTATAATTTATCATTTTGTTTGTAATATCGTATTTTATTTAAATATGAATGTGTATGTGATTTGTTGGATGCAACTATAAACACCTTATACTCATTTTGTACATTATTATTTGATTGACTGTCAGATTCATAAATCAGGGTGTTAGCAAGAAGATGATGAGTTGTAGTAATAAGGCGAGCAACTGGTTGCAACTTATACATAATATTGTGCACATTATTAGATGAATTGTTAATTAGTGGCAAATTGTGATATATTTCTATATTTGTAGTTGAATTATTAGTCCACATAGTAGTGGTAAAGAGTAAATTTTCTTTATATGTATTGAATTTGTTTATAATAAAAAAAAGTGGATAATAGAAATATAATTAGATAAGGGTAACAAGGTAATTTGTATTTCATATCCTTAAATCTCATCAAACAAAATCCATAATGAAATCCAACAAGCAAACAATAGACTTGCTGAAATCTATAATGCAACCAAATCCATCATATATCTATGATTTTCCAAAACTCAGGTTTTACCGTTTTACCAAACTCTCATTTTTCAAATCCATGAAGCAAACGACCGTAAAATTTGATTTTCAACATAATGCAGGAGAAGAAGGAAGAGACTATTGATAGTGAATATAAATTTTCATTAATGAAGATCAAGTTGTGTGGAGAAGATGCTTTTGATGGCGGAACAATCAACAAGAAATCCAAAAGGGAATTTGCAGTCATCTCTAACATCAAAGAGTAAACTGGAGTGCATTTTGAATATTAAGTTTTTAAGAAATTAGTTCCTTGCAGGAGTTGTGTGTTTTCTTTTGATAATAACTTTTATCCATGAATAATCAAGATGTTGTTATGTTGTATGTTGTCTTTTTTAATATTTGTAGTAATTGAATAATTCGAATTCTTTCATGGTACCAAATAAATGATTGAGGTAATTACTATTATTTTATATTCTATTGATGTAATTCATCTGGTCAACGGGCGGGTCCAAATCTGTGACTAGTATACGAGTTCGTTGGCCACAAAGAACAATGTAGGGATATATGTGTCTTTTGCAATTTTACGTGGCTCCTAAAAATAATAATATGCAAAGGTTAAAACAAATAATCATAAAATTCAAAAAAATAAAACAAATGATTATCAATATTTAAAACAAAAATAATTATAACCGAAGACCTATTAGGTAAGAAAATATATGTGCCTCAAAATATAGTATTAATGGCAAATACTAATGCCACTAAAATGGAAAAAGAAAGCAACAAAATAGTCATTCAAAAGTGAATTTAGAAACATAAATATTTGCCTCAAATCTCATAATCAGCAACTCATCATATTTGTCTCCAACATCTGCCTTTAAAGAGAATTAGCGGCAACAATTGGCAGCACACATTTATGTGCCACAATTGGTCTGTAGAAACACATAAGTCACTTACAATAACAATAGCAAAGGTCAGTTTTTTTTTTAAAAAAAAGCGTGTTTGTTAGGTATAATAGTTTTTTTTTATAATGGTGTTTAATGCATTAAAATAAAAAAGATAAGAGTCTGAAGAAAAGATACACAGAAGTCTCACAAGAAGTGAGCCCTCCAAAGACACCCAGGAGTCAAGGGAGAAAAAGTAGGAAAGGGAAGAGGCAAAACCGAAGAAGCAGAGGGACAACACCAAAGCAACAAAAAGCCAGAAGAAAGACAAGAAGAAGCTCTTGTCCATGGCTGAACCAAGACAACGATCAAGCGAAAGGAATCAGGGACAACACCAACCGAACATAAGTGAGCAGCAAAACCTTTGCAACAAAGCCAGAGCCATCCTGCTGCCACCTTAATTCTTATCAATCTTGCCAAAAGCCACCAGCCACTCCGCTACTGTGTGAGAAATACTTTGCTGGGTGCACGCCTCGTTGAAATAAGAATCCCTGAAAATTCGTCAATTTCTTTCCAACCAAACATTCCAGCAAACAACATGAAGAACACAATAAACAAACCACCTATCAGGGTTGTCCGGTTGGGTAGTCTCCCATCTACGAATAGTTGAAAGGATGTTGCCAGAAGGAGGGGTGACGAGTCTGTAATCGAGCTTGATGCGAGCCCACACTTCCTTGACAAAGTCGCAATCAACAAAGATATGATCAGTTTTCTCCTCGCAGTGTGCACACAGAACACATCTACTCGCCAACGACCAGCCTCTACTCTTAAGGGTGTCCATCGTAAGGATCTTCTTGTGCGCGACCGTCCACATAAAGCAGCACACCTTAGAAGGAACGATTTTCCTCCAGACCGACTCAACAGGGAACTGCGACACCCCTGGAAAAAGATTCCTTGAGAGAGACCTGTACATGGAGCAAACGGAGAAAGATGACTCTGGGGACTGTGACCAGACGAGTCTGCTCGGTCCACAAGTCACACGAGAAGCATCGACAGTACCAAGTAACTCAAACAAAGAGACCCTCTCCCGCTTAGCACCCCCTCTCACCTGAAAACGAGACAATGTCAAAGACCCAGGCATTAGGACGCATTGCGGCAGAAGCGACACGAGGGAAAGTGTCTGCAAGGACAACTTTAGGGATCCAGAAATCTTGCCAAAAAGAAACCCCAGCTCCCCCCCCCCCCCGAATCGAGGTAAGCTCTCTTTCACCACGACTCATACTCGCGAGAAATGTTCGCCCACACGGAACCAGCAAACCCATTTATACTTCTGCTACTTTGCCAATCAAAGACTGCAGCCGGATACTTAGCCGCAATAAGCTTCCTCCATCAACTGTTCCTCTCAACAGCGAACCTCCATAACCACTTGGAAAGCAAAGCTTTGTTGAAGCAAGTAAGGTGTTTGATCCCCAAACCGCCGTCCTCTTTCTCAGCTTTACAGATATTCCAGTTGACAAGGGGAATTCTCTGAGTTTCATTAGCACCACTCCAAATAAACCTCCGTTGGATCTTCTCAATTCTATTGATCACCGTTTTTGGGGCTTTAAGTAAGGAAAAGTAATAGACCGGTTGGCTATTCAAAATGGAGCTGTTAAGAACCAAACGAGCTCCGAAAGAGAGGAGCCGCCTCTTCCAGCCCTCAAGACGATGCTGATACTTATCGATGACAGCGTCCCAAGTAGCGACAGAGTTCACCCTCGCACCCAGCGGGAAGCCGAGGTACTTAGATGGATCTCTGCTCCACTTGCATCCAAAAATCGCAGCAAAGAAATCTGGGTCAGGAACATCCCCCACAGTGAACATCATTGACTTATCCAGATTGATTTTCAGCCTGGATACTACTTGAAAGCACACGAGAGTTGCAGGATGTGTAAGACCTGCTCATAGTTCGCCTCGCAGAAGATCAGAGTATCGTTAGCAAATAGAAGGTGGGTCACCTCCCCCCTCCCGTCGGCCTCATTCATACAAAAAACTTTGAGCAACCCTTCGTTCTGAAGCGAGGAAAGCATGGAGGAGAGAACATCCATAACAAGCACAAAGAGTCCCGGGGAGAGCGGGTCGCC